CTCAATAAAAAAATTAATATTTCTGATATTTTTTTAACCGTTTTGAAGTTGTATTGTGCTTTGTTAAATGAAATAAATCATGACGTAAATTACCAAAAACATGATGATCAAATGTAGTTTGATTGTTAGGATGACAATAACAGAAAAAATATTATATTTGTAGATCAAATATTATGCATTTTTCACCTGAAAGATAATATTTCATGAACGCTAAATCAGATCACACTACCAATTGGCAGTACTGAAACGTTTTGCAGAAAAAATACCATCATTTATATATAACCTTACTTTATTAATAGTTAATTTGAAATACTAAATATAAACTTGTTATTCCCTATTTCTCATTTCATTTTGATATCGAAAACAATATAAAAGTTCAAAGTTGAAGACGCAAAACCTATCGCCATAAACATATACAATACAAAAATACAGCAAATATCATTATAAACACGATAATTTGATTTCATTAAGTTTTCTTAGTTTTAAACTAACATAGATATTTCTCAACAGGTAAGCAATAAGATTACATTTGTTTCGGATATACAGTTCGGTTCTATGGTTCTATTGACATATATAATACGGTGACAATAATATCACCCATTAGGGTACAGGACTTAGCCCCCCTACAGACGTGTTGACAATAGATACACAATACCGTGGTCTCCCTCCATTAAGTTTTATAGTTTATAAACAGGGATTTCGCATACATCCAAGGCCATTTGTTGTCCTCCTCCATTAAGAGCTGTTTGGAATGAAAAAAGAAAATTCCACATGAAGCGAGACAGTTGAACTTTTGATCGGGATTCCGCTCTATAATTACACATCTATGGTTTATAGGGACGGAACTTAAACAGTCTATTACCTTCACCCTGTCTTTTATATCCCAGTCTCATTTATCGTAGAATAGTTGCATTGGATGTTTTATGTTTTAAGTACCAATAAAGGATGGCATTATAAATTTTTTAATTAAACATTTAACTACATTCTATTTATCACTGAAATTTAAACAATACAGGAGGTAGCGAACGACGGATCTCTTGACTTACACAAGCCATCAAAAAGGTGGTAAAATGGAATGATTTTGAATGCTTAATCAATTTATATAGTAGATTTTGTATCACAGCTAGCTATCATAATTTTAGAAAGCATTTCTTGAATCCGCTTCAAACACAATCTGAAAAGCCATTGTACCCCTCTAAATAGTCCAGTATCATCTGAATGAATTGTATTGATTATATTGATACAGAAACAACTAACCAAAACCTTCGTAGGAACATCAAAGATGAAAAATTACAGAAAGTAACTCATTGTCTGTTGACATACTTATCTTTCAACTCTCCTATTATCTGTATAATTACGTTGATGACATGAACTGGACAGTTAAATGATCACAAGTGCATAAATACCTGTTGTAGTTGTCTTTGGCTCAGTGTTGTTGCAATTGCAATGTCATAACCTCATGGCGTTATTTGCATTGTGACATCAGCAAAAAACGGATATGTCGTTAGAATATCGTTATTATATAGATTTTGTTAACAGCCAGATGAAAATGTCTTAATTGAGAGATGAGTATACTTTTCATTTCGTTTTTAATGTAACTGGTTGTGAATTCATCATTACACATTAAAATTATTTTCGAGACGCCTTCATAAGCTTCATTGGAAATTGAATCCCACGTAAGCCCTTACAGGTATATTTCGTGTTACTTTCCTAAAATGCCGTCTTCAAGTTTCTTACTCTCTGATCCTGTGATAACCGGAATTAATTCATAAGGATTTAAATATAGAGACATTATCTAACCAGGGTATACGTTTGCAAACACTGTAATGGTGTACGCAAGGTCCTAATGACCTTGTGTATGACTTAACTGTCATCAAGGTGTATGCTCTATAGATAAGATGTTTGTAGCAGACTTTAGTGTATTTTAAGAAACGACGCATTTACTGGATATAGTTACTGCATATTACAGTCCCGTGATCACGTTCGTGATTAGCAAGTATGATCACTTATGACTGCCGCATGCAATTGTACAAACCGAGAATTAAAAAAAAACCGCCTCAACATGCTTAATTTTATATCTGTTAATAAAACATTTTCTTACCTCAAATATTGTTTAATTATAATTTACTCATTTTAATTAATATAAATAACATATTTATATTTTAATTTATTAATTTGATTAACCAAAACTCCCCAGTAGACATGCATGTTCATAAGATGGCTCAATAACGAAGGACTACAGATTTGTAGAAATGCGATTTATTTGCATCTAATTCAATTGTCAAAAGTACAAGTATGATGACACATGCATTAATTATGAATTTTGTCGTGCATGACATATATAGATAAAATATACACTACACATACATTGTAGTCTACTTCAGTTCATCGTGAACGTCGAAGTAAACCGTACAAGATATATTTAAGATGTTTGAATATAAATTAGGTGAAGATAGAGTTCACGGTCGTCAATGTTGGGAGAAGACTTGGTTTAGTGTTTCTGAAGTACAAAAGCGACCGTAGTGACAACAAAGATCTCAATTTACTTACATAGGACACGTTCGAGTTCTGGGAGGCTCCGACGGGATTTAAAGTAAAATTGTTGCAACAGACATTTATCTTGTACTCCGAAGGAATAATTAAGTAGATAAATAACTTGTTTGTGACAATTAATGTGTTTGTTTTTTGGCGTATTGATTTTCAAAGTTAATGTAACTCACACAGATGATATATATTACGAATCTATCAATAATGTAGATCTTAAATCTAACTTGTGCACAGTCATTTCAAATACACGTTTATGTGTGTGTGTGTGTGTGTGTGTGTGTGTGTATATATGTGTGTGTGTGTGTGTGTGTGTGTGTGTGTGTATATACTCAACGTAAATAACATAAGTTTCCTCGTCAAATAAACTTCTGTAATATTATACAGATTTAGGTAATTATGATACACAATTATGTTAAGTTTAGTGTCATTTGCACATGGTTTCCTTGGTAACAGCAGAAATAATTTTCATGAAATTCATATGAAATTCTGTATGGTATTTTAAACATCTGTCTTACAGGATCCGACATTGTTTCTATCAATAAATAATAAAACAATACGAGCTTCAGATCCATTTCTTGATATTTCCGAAACAGTCAAAGGCCTTGGAGAAAAACCGTATCGTAAATATTAATGTATTATCAATTTTTGGCAGATTAACTCAATGCTGAATTCGTTTTCAGCAATAATTTTTAAATATATTTTTAATAGTATGCAGAAGTACAGGTGTTTACACCCCCTTAGGAACCTCTAGTCATACACCTGGGTACACGGATGTGTGCTTACCTGGGAAATTGCCCCGGCCAGGTACAGGGTCTTCTTATTTAGATTATTCAACAAAACGATGTTATTTGATACAGTAGTACGAGACTATTTTGAATGCGAAGACTGGTACAGAGTAGAGTTTAATCTTAACTATGCTTGGTAGACAAGTTAACGAATATTGACTAAACTTAGAACAAATCCTACTTGGTGAATGACTCACTGGTAAAGAGGCTTTACCTGTCACTGAACATGTACAGAAGAAAAATTGTGGAAAATTAAAACGATGTCTATATCAGAAAGTTCATTTTACGGTGGATTTTGATAGCGATTTTGGGAGCCCACATTTCTTCCGGTTGTTCAAAAACGTGTTTACCCTGAGTTTGTTAGGCTTAATTGTTGTATTGTTCCTTAAATGGATACACCTCAAAGAACAAAGTACATAATCCCATTCAAAACATTTAAAAAAGAAAAAAAAAGAAAAAAAATAACAAAAAATCAAACCCGATAAAAGAATAAAACACAAATTCATATTCATAAAAATTCTCTGCCGACATAACTATTTTATACACGTCTTGAGTATTTTGTTTCTTATTTATTTAAGGATACATGTGATATAATCTGACATGTGATATAATCATGCTCTGAACGTACGACAGAGTCCTATTCATAGGGGTGTTATATTAATAGCATCCAGTCAATGTATGTCTGTGTAATACAGGAAGAAATTACCTACTGAATTGTCATTACAATACACGCACAATGCTTATGTATGAGTATAATTTATATCGTGTACATGTACTTTTCAAACAGGTTACAAACCGCATTCCTATGGTGTTTACGTCTAGTAAATACTTTGGAGATCTTTTTTTTCATATCTCTTTTGATAAGATTCAATATTCTTAAAATTTCATCTCACTTTATCCTCACCCTTATTAATTACGAGTACAGTATGCGATGGAATAGTTTTTGTTGTATTTTTCTCACATGTTTTTCGATTTAAATCAACAATATAACAGATATATTTAGATTTTTTGCCTAAAGATCCTCATAGTATGTATACTCCAGCTTTAATACTTGACAATGTAGTCTACTTATTCTTTTCATTCTATTTGCAAAAGAGGAAACCGAACGCTAGAAACCGTACCTTGTGTTTGGTTTTGTCTGAACCTTGTCCCTCATTCATGGTCTGAGTACTGGTTAACGTGAACATGCTGTGAGAAGTAAGCCAGCGAATTGTTCTTATCTATATAACACCTATATAGCCTATCTACATAGACCTCAGACTAGATTTTTATGAAATTCATCGATATATATATATAGATATATGATTCGATATATATCAGATTCACAAATTCAGGCTTGGGACGTGTGTAGTTCTATCTATTCTCTCTATGACCTGACATACGCTGTTATAATATGCATTCTTTTACAGTAAAACCTAAACCATTTTAGCAATTAAGAACAAGAAGATGATCTCATGACTAAATATCTGATCCTGTGTGTTGTCCTGAACAAATTATAATTTGTACGAGTAATTTGTCCATGTGCCCTATCACGATGTAAACGACTAGATATTCTAAAGTTGAAAATTGACAGCTACAATATTTGAACATTTTCACTGCAATTTTTGCCTCAGCTGAGCCCAAACCATACGAACATGGCACAGCTAAGCAATGAAACCATATATATAGATAATATATATAATTATTTTATCTTTGCAGTCGTCATGTCGCAACAGAGGAAGTGTCAGCGGTTACTTCTTGGCAGGAAGAACCATGAACTGGATTCCGGTAGGATATTTCTGTATCTTATTTTCTTGTTGTGTCCAAAACATAAATATGTTACCAAGACCCAATGAACTTTTATTTAGTTATCATTTTAATTGCTTATTATCTTGATATTATGTGTATTATCAGAAGAAGAAATACTTTAATGTTGCCCCTGACAAGAAAAAAAACAGCTCGCCGGTACTTGCAACTTTATTTACAAATCCTTTTAAAAGTCTAGTACTATAACCAGTATGAATTATGTTGATGTTAGGCGGGTCCAGTATTGTGTTATTGTTACACATTTAACTCTGAACAAAAATGTATAATATTTTGAAGAGGCAATGTTTTCACTGAGAAAACGAAAACCCTTCGGGTTGAATAATCTATACTACATGTACATGTTAATGAGCTTTATTTTCTTGTAATATTTTAAGGTCGGAGCTTCACTTTTCGCTAGTAATATCGGAAGTGGCCATTTTGTTGGTCTGGCTGGGTCCGGAGCAGCTTCCGGTATCGGAATAGCTGTATTTGAGCTAAACGTAAGTGTCTTTAAATTATTTTTACAGGATACATATATAACTAATACACTTTGCATTTTGTGGAGAGTGTATAGGATGCAGGTTTTCATCTTAGTCAAGAATAGCGACAACAAGTATAAAAAAATACAAAATTAATATGCTATTGATCTTCATAGGGGTATATTTACAGTTTATAGAAACTTTGTATTACTATGTAATATTTATGATTCTGTGGATATATTGACGTACTACATCACATAGTTCCGCTGTAAACGCCCCGAAGTCTATAAACGCCACTTTAGTGTTGTAACATGATATAAATCCTTGAACGTTAACCTTTAACCTCTACTGTATATGAAGTTAAAATGCATATATAAAGCATTTTTCTCTCAACTTTGTAAGGAATTACAGAACAATTTTAATGTATATTTAATGAGATAATGTTCATAATTTCTAATTATAAATGATATTTATGACAGATATCAATATTTAATTTTTAGTATATTTAATATATTAGAGATATATTCATGTTCATAATTTGCTATATTTATGATTTATTCGCTGTATTTGTAATCTGTTATATATATACATCGTAATTCATATATACGTTGATAACTTATAGCTATATTTATTAATCTTATTTCCTCTTTATAGACCATATTTATAGTTTGTAGCTTTATTTATAATACATAGTGTATATTTATAATGTGTATGTCGTGTTTATAATTATACACTATGTTTATTCTTTATATTTATTATTTATAGGCTATCTTTATCCTGATGATGCTGGGTTGGTTGTTTGTTCCTGTGTACATTGCTTCTGGTGTGAGTATAAAGAAAAAAAACAAACATTTTTATCTTAGATATGCTATATTTTTCATTTCAACGATTTTATCCTACCGTCTAAGCTACATTATAAGAAAGTTAACAGTAATGGACCATGTGAACTACTTTTAGTGAAAAATAATGACTTTATAAATAAGTAATAATACTTTTGAAACTTTAATAGTATCTTCATTGATTAATTCTTATTCATCATATTATCCTAAGTAAAGGCGAGGTAAGATCAAATTTGTGTAAAATGGAGAGAGGTCAGGACAATGTTAACAACTTAGTAATTAGTCAATGGTCTAGGAAATGTACTGATATGAAATCCCTGACAGAAAACTTACAACTGTCAAGCGATGTATATTTCAAAATGCGCAATTCTTAAGCTTAATCATAAAGAATTTTGTGTCGTTCATAATTTGAAAAAAAGTATTGTTTTGTATGCAGGTATTTACCATGCCAGAGTACTTACAGAAGAGATTTGGCGGTCAGAGGATCAGAATATATCTGTCTGTTCTCGCTCTTATCCTCTACGTGTTCACGAAAATTTCCGTAAGTTTTAAGATCGTAATCGTGAAGAACATCATTTTATATTATACATATATACAGATATGAGATCCAGGTATAAAAGGGTTAATGGTTGTAATAAGTTCACTCCCCTTCTTTCAAAGTGGACGAAAGTGCTAACAAGATACTCTTAAAAGAACTCTTTGAACAACATTCTACTTGATATTACATATACGCATTTTTATTTATATCGATATTAATTTTATTAATATGAGTTGTGGTGTTTCAGTCCTGTCACTTATTTTTTCCGACTAAAATCATTTTTGCATAAAAGGTCTTACATAATATGTTTAATACCTACATCAATAAACACATCTAAACTGTATCGCTATTGATATCAACTCAGGCTGATCTGTTCTCTGGAGCGCTCTTCATCACTCAAACCTTCAAGGGATTCAATCTGTACCTCGCCGTTATCATATTACTAGCCATAGCAGCTCTGTTCACCATAACAGGTACGTATTTCTGTAAATCTTGTATCCTTGGTTAAGGTCAATATTAAATACACCAACCTTTCCGGAAAACATAGTCTTAATCTCCTTTTCTATTTTCCATTTCTGCAGTCTCCTTGTACCTTTTTTCTTTGATTTATCGAACCTGAGTTTAAATTAAAATTTTGTTGACAAGTCGATGTATAAATATATTTATTCGTGGACAAATATACAATTTTAGTTAATCAAACACGCATACATGTGTTTTGTACTGGTTTGTGGCATGTACCTGCAGTTTGACATTTAATCTGTAATGAACAAAAAATCGTGATTGATGAATATAAGAATATGCTTGTGACATTGCATGGAAATAATTATGGAATTATATACACAGAACCTGGTAAAAAGTTTGTATAAAAATGACGTGCTATGATTTGGTAACTGTTCCAACTTTAGGTGGCTTGACTGCTGTAATTTGGACTGATTTCGCACAAGTGGTCATCATGGTGATTGGAGCATTCATTCTTATGATCATGAGTAAGTTTGATTTAACTCTAGGTTATTCACTTCCATTTTTACAAGACATCTATCAGTACAATGGATTTCTCTGTAACACACCATCTTCACTGCTTCACAATTATAAAGAGAAAGTTATTGAAATGGAATATTTCGTATTTGAAATATTTGGAATACCTTCATGTTGTCAACTTTGTCAAATTACAATTTTACAAAATGTACCTTCTTTATGCATAACTCTCTTTAGACTTAACTTTTTAAAGTGCTTCAAGAGATATCACTTTCTGTTCAGATAAAGATTTAATATTTAGAACAATTAGTATTTTTTCTAAGAAAAAGAAACCGCTCTTGATTTTTATTTCCCTGCCATGTCCTGGCCTGTCATAATATCGTTTCCGCTTATTAATATTTAACAGATACAGGTGTAGAACTGTCATTTGGTGTGCGGTTGTGCAAACTTCAGAGTCTTAAAGACCACCAGCGGTGTCTTCCACCTGCTATCTTAAAGCTTGTACAAAAGACACACAAATGAATAGCATCTTTTTCATAACTTAGAGTGAGATACAGTCGACCCAACAAATGGATCACACTGCATCATACAGCTGTTTCGTCCTTCTAGGACTCGTCAGTGATGTTACATCATACAGCTGTTTCGTCCTTTAGGACTCGTCAGAGATGTTACATCATACAGCTGTTTCGTCCTTCTAGGGCTCGTCAGAGATGTTACATCATACAGCTGGTTCGTCCTTCTAGGACTCGTCAGTGATGTTACATCATATAGCTGTTTCGTCCTTCTAGGACTCCTCAGTGATGCAAACATATCCCAAACTACTATATCAGTAACTGGGTATATATGTAAATAAATTAACCATGTCCACTTTATTCTTGGTTGGTGATGCGCTAGCTTCATAACGTGTAACATGCAAATAGATATCGCAAATTGGCATATTGTCTTCATTAACTTTCATTTCCCTCGAATCTTTTTAATCAGGTTTCATCGAAGTAGGTGGATACGAACAAGTGGTTAAAAAGTATTTTGATGCGTGGCCAAATACGACTCGTTTGCATTACGCCAACATTCACAGCAACTATAGCTATGCCAAATGTGGAATCCCACCAGGAAATGCCATGCATCTGATGAGAGCAGCGGATGATGGTGGTCTGCCATGGCCAGGAATCATATTTGGTCTCACCATCTCCTCTGTATGGTATTGGTGTTCAGATCAGGTAAGTATGGGATAACTCGCCTTATTTCTCAATGACATCCTTGCTGAAATTATCCGCTCTTCAACAAGAAAATCACTTGCGATTTTAATGATTCTATGTAAAGCATAAGAGTGATGCATGATGTTACATACGTTACGGCTACGACTGTAAAGCACCAAAATATTTATTATGTTGATATATAATATCCGTAAGGTAGTGCTTTCAAACAAGGACAATTGCTTACTGCACTGTAAGACATTATTTGTTCCACACTTCACATGAACATTTGTGGGTGAGTGGATGGAAGGGTGGGGGGGGGTGTGTGGTTGGATGTGTGTGTATGTGTAAGTGTGAATTTGATTGGACCTAATCAGACGTAAAATATTTGTTTTTAAGGTTATTGTACAGAGGGCTCTAGCCGCTAAGAACTTATCACACGCCAAAGCTGGAACCATTCTTGCCGGATATTTGAAATTTTTACCTCTTTGGCTTCTCGTATTCCCAGGAATGATTGCCAGGATTTTGTTTCCAAGTGGGTTGCTATAATAATTTGAAACTATTAAATAACACTGCGTATACATAATTTCAACGTTTTGCTTTTCTTCAGAAGTTTTGCGTCTTACTAGTTTTCACTTTTTGCTTCATTAAAACGAAAGATTTTCACATTTTGCATGATTAGAATAAAAAAAGAAAAAAAAAACCTTTTTAAAGTCGAGATGTGTGTTTAATATTTTGTATACATTTTTGATATAAAGTTCACGTACATATAATGTCGTTTAAGGGTACATAAGACAAGTAATATTTCTTTAATGTTAAACTGGGAAACATTACCAAACTATTTATCTATCACCTTGGTTTTCATACCTTTGCCTTATCTACATTGCCTGAATGATATATATATGTATATGTTTTAACTAAGGTTATTTTTATAAATGATGCCATATTATTATGTATGCCATCTGAGGTTTGATATAGATCAAACTTGTCTACAAATATTTCATTGTTTTACAGATGAGGTGGGCTGCGCCGATCCTGATGTTTGTATGAAAGTATGTGGCAGTCGAGCGGGTTGCACAAATATTGCTTTCCCTAAACTCGTTCTCAAAATTATGCCTGTCGGTCTCAGGGGTTTGATGTTGGCTGTGATGATGTCTGCTCTCATTTCTTCGTTGACTTCCATATTTAACAGCAGCAGTACCATTTTCACTATGGACATCTGGCGGCGGATAAGGAAGAATGCCGGCGACGTAGAGCTGATGATAGTGGGACGGTAAGTTATGTTATAAGTTATATCTATAACTTATACATCTGATTTCTTGATGGAATGTGTTAAAAACTATGCATTTTGTTAACCTTATCATGTCTCTGTCTATATATCATTAATGCCAGTTACATTGTGTATGAAATAATCGTGTGGCTAGGTATCTTGTTCAGCTTGTTTGCTAATTTCCTTGATAAACGCCAACTTAAGTCATATTTACCGATACGAAATCACGTCTTGTATTCAAGTTACTTAAATGTATTAAGTAAACACTCACTGACTTATCTCCCTTTACTCATATTTATAAGCATTGCGTCGTAAAATTTATTATGGTTTTAGTTTTTAAAAATGGTACACTTTACAAACATAACATATGTGCTAACATTTTTTGTTTGGCTATCATTACCTATATACCAATATCTTTGACTAATTCAATCCATGTTTATACAATTATTTTTCCTAATTTTACCAAACAAAGTTCATGTGCTACCATAGCTTACCTTCCCTCTATTGCCTCGCAGGGTGTGTGTTGTGATTTTGGTTGTGATATCTGTAGTGTGGATACCTATTGTTCAGAATGTCTCTGAGCTGTTCCACTACATCCAGGCTATCACCAGCTTCCTGGCTCCACCTGTTTGTGCTGTATATGTTCTAGCGGTCTTCTGGAAACGAACCAATGAGAAGGTCATTGTTTATACAGTTTACACATTAGACATTTTATTTTTTGCAAGTGTTTCTGTGTTAAAACAATAATGTGTTACTTGTGTTTACAACGACATTATAAAATTGAGTTATGTTCTTTGTCAACCCATAAATGCTACTTAATCTTTCCAGTTATTATACCAAGCGGGAAATCGAAGGTTTGTAACATAAATGAAATATCGCCATTTTGTATACTTGTCGTTGCTGAAATTGAACTATAGAGAGTAGCTTCTTAACTGGAAACAATAAAAAAATGTCCATACAGAATATGCTTCTTTTTCCCACCAACAGGGGGCGTTTTTCGGACTGATGGTTGGTCTCTTGACTGGAATGATACGTTTTATATGGGAATATACATACAGTGTACCTCCGTGTGGCGAGGAAGCAGATGATACTCGACCAGCTATAATTTCCAAAGTCCACTATCTTCACTTTGGAATCCTTCTCTTCGGGATCGTCTTTATCTGCACTATCATCATGAGTCTTTTGACAAAACCCATCGAAGATAAGCATGTAGGTTTATGTTTCTGATATCTTTCCAACACTGTACGTATAGTTTAAAAAACAGTTGCGACCTGTGATTACACATGTAGGTCTAATACTTTTGAGATATCTTTTGAATGGGTATTCGGCCAACGTAATTATAATGCAGTTATGCCTATTTTTTCGGTTCGAAATCCTTCGATCGCGATTCATATATTTATTATTGTCAATGACGTGTAGAAACTTTTTAGATTGTACAAAAGGCACACAAGTAAGTAACACTTTTAAATACAAATTAAGAGTTGGATACCGTAGAGGAAAACAAAGATTTAAAATGCATCATACAGCTGTTTCGTCCTTCTAGGACTGGTCAGTGATGCTACATCATACAGCTGTTTCGTCCTTCTAGGACTCGTCAGTGATGCCAAGAGCCTATATTTTGATGACCAAATTGATCGAAAGAAAAGTCGAAATTTCGACGAGGAGGTGCACTAGTCCAGTTTTGGAAATTGTCATATATTTGATCATTTTATATAAATATATATTACTTTCTGCGATATTCCTTTCCCTTTACATTTTTTATTTTAGACGATACAAAAGACGAAACTAGTTAATTTAAACAATGCACATCATTATGACGTTTGTGTTCTCAACAAATAATTTAGCAATACGTTTTTCGTTTGAATTACCAATTGTGTTCTCTTTCGTTCCTAGTTACATCGACTGACGTTCTGGAATAGGTTCAGTACGGCTGAAAGAGTCGATATTGATGAAGAGGAGACCCAAGCCGAGCAAGAATCAAATTCAAAAACGCTCAATATAGAGGACGTCCGTAAGTCTTCAATGTTTATTTTCTCAATCATTGATATCTTTTTTTTTCCCAATTAATATACATCCATTTAAATTTACATTCCATGCTAGTGCGATGGTATATTTGAAAAAATATCTGTAATGTATTTTTTATTTTTATTTTTTTTCGAGGGGGGGGGGGGAAGGGATGTGGGTTAAGGGGTATTGGGATTTTATCAGACAAAATCATACCTCCAGGAAGAAATAACGCTGATGCGCTTAAGTTAAGGAAACGCCTTTTTATATTCAGAACCTGAGGTAGACATACCTTGCTACAAGAGAGCATTCCAGTGGATATGCGGCATTGAGAAGATGGTAAACCAGCCGAAAATGACGGACGAAGAACGACAAGCCATCGCCAAGAAACACGAATCAATTGTTGAAAAAGGCACATGGAAAACTGTTCTCAATATCAACGCCGTTCTGTTGATGACAATTGCGGTTTTCATTTGGGGATTTTATGCATAATTACATGCTGATAGAGTTGTCAAGAAACCTTTACAAGCATAATCTCTTAGCATCTTATTTTATACATATCATTCATATGTAAATGTAGAAAATTATTTTATACCTATCATTCATATGTAAATGTAGAAAACTAGTTTTGATATACGTTACGTTGTTTTCTTATCAGATACAATACATATCACGAATTACGCGTGAGGATTCTTTATATATATTGGTTTATATATATATATATCATAAAATCCATCGTATTTCACTGTTAGAACATGTAAAAGTTAACGAATATTTCAATTTCATTCTGTTACTGTATAGTTGTTTTTTTTATTTCGCGGGCTAATATTTTGTGGGTGACCATGTTACTTACGTTGAGTTCATTTCGACGAGATTGAAGTGATAATACCAATAATGAACTGGATTGATAGAAACGGTTACGTTGTAAGTGAAAGTGTATGAAGCTACAGTGTTGTAAATGTAATTATCCTATTACTTCAAACATTCATTCTACGGCCTATTTAACGTATTTACTGCTTTACTTACTTGGATTAACCAATATCTGCATACCGATTGCCTTCAAGGAAAAATACGACGCTTACCGTTTTGGAACACCTGGTCTTGTTTTCCGTGTATTTTTTCATGAATCTCTCTTTTGTTAATATTTTGCTTTAATTTCATCGAAATAGAGTTTGAATTGAGGTACTTGAGACTGATATGTTTTTTTTTTTTTCTCTCTTTTTGTCAGATCATTTATGAAAACGCAATATCAAATTGGTCGTAGTTTCGCACAGTACACTGTTAAGGTGCATTGTAACATTCATTCATACATTACATTCGGTAAAACACCTTAGTTTTCACTGCCGTCATAGATAGCCATAAAGTTGAAAATGCTTTCATTTTTGTCAGTCGTCATAGATTCTCATAAGGGTGAAAATGTGATTCTTAATTACTTGATAATATATATATGATTGCTGATTGTTATGGTGCTAACTTAGTTAACTTTGAATAGCGTTACCGTTTCCTGTACTGAAGGTTTTTTTGTCCTTTCTTTAGTGACATACAGTCATCCAGAGTGTATAGGGTTATTTTCTGAGACCGTATCCCATATAATGAAATTATTTCATAGATATTGTGAATTTGGTTTGGAGATTGAATGCCTGACTATCACAATCTTATTCAACACTCCTATTTTGTACAAGAAGTAAAAAAGAAATCCGTACTTTATGTGAAACCGGTTATGGACGATTTTTATAAATAATCTTCATCATTAATTGTCAATGTATTGCTTCGGTTGCGATACAAATCCACTGGTGTTTTTTCATTTTCTATCCTGTATTATTTGTTAGATGTCAATAGATCGTGCATGTAAGTGACTGGATGTATACCTTCAACACATACAATAAGGTTGTATATGATTATATGATTATCTAGAAAAAACAGATTATATATATTGTGTATATGTATTTGAGTATATTTTCATACATAAATGACAACAAAATAAATAAAAAGAAAGTCAATTCACAACCATGTTTTTTTTTATTTGAAAATCTATCTTCCCTTTCCATTGGGAGTAAGTTTTAATTAACAGAGAAACACGATATTATAAATGCCAGCCTCACATTAGAATAATTAAAGACTGTCATCGAAGACACAATCCGATCTAAGTCATTCAAATACGTTAATTGTTGTCAGAAAGCTGTATTATCAAATTTATCCTGAAGCGTCCTTAGGTAAGGCAAACACTATTTAAACAACGAATATGGCTCCTGCGGGCCCTGGCAAAAACGAGACACTCACTCACTGTCCGAAATACTTGTGCATAGTTCAAGCTTAAACAAACAAAAACAAATTGAATAGTGAAGGCAGTTCAAGTGAGCTATTTGAACCCTTGGGAAGGGACTTCGCTGAAGAAAATGCGATTGTAGCAAAGCTGTTAAGGAGACTCGACTCTGTGTAATATAGTTTTTATAAAGTATTTCTATACCGGGCATATTGCAATTGCATGTAAATTTCTTGTTGCGCGAAAGAGAACTCTCCTGTATATAGAGGACTAAAAGTACATCGCGATGTCAACAATGGAGAAAAGAGTTGAAGGAGGGCGGTTTACGCCTTTTGAAAGCGATTGTAACGGAAGTAGTAGCTTTCATGACCAGTAGTATTCAAAACCAACGAAGTCAGTTAACGTAAAAGATATCGACACATAGTAAGACTCTAGTAGTTACTGTAGTGACGATAGTAAGACGGGATTTGACCAAAAAGCCCGTACGTGATTCTCGGAATAGAATAAGGCGATGCGTTATGGAGTTGTCTATGTTGGTTTATGCAACGGAATGATATTAGGAAAGAATAGGAAAGAGCTTATCACAGTTTGTATTATATGAGAGGACAATAACAAAACAACGTCAAACAACCGTATGTGCAGAAAGGATTCAAGACATTCGATTTGAAAAAAAATAATGTCTTGTATGACATTAAAGCCCCAATATACGTAAAAATCACTATAAAAAAAACAAACTTTATCTTATTTTCCCCGTAATATATGCAACAAAACAAATACTTTCCTTTAATTAAAGATAATAAAACTGACTGTTTTCAATTTAAATAAAAATTGAAAAAATCGGAAAATAAACAATGTGGGACCCACAATAATTCATACATTACCGCTCGTAGCGATAACATTGCGCATGCGCATATTCCGCGTGTGTAAACATGGCAGTCACAGTACAGACGTTCACCAGTCGCTTCCTTTTTTTCCAATCATACATCAGGCCAGTTCTGAATTCTTACGTTATAATTGCGCGTCGTATCGTTTCTAAACTAAATATTCCTTCTAATAATTTCCCAAAAACTGAATGTTTATCACATGAATACCTCAAGTCTACGACAAGACTTCGCAAACAATGTTTGTAAACAAAAACTTACCGTAGACACATCTGCATGTGCTTCCTCTATAAGTAGAAACCTCAACTCTCGCGAGATCAGGTCACGAACTTTCCGACGTCGTTCGGCAACAATCGTAATTTCGATGGTGGCGTGTTTAAAATGGAGGTGTGTTTACAAATAGCGAGTTTCAACTGCTCATATATCAATACTTTATGCAGAAAGTCATGGCAACTATTGTTTGAATATCTCAATAATTATGTGTGATTCTACACTAAAGCTTTGGTGAATGTTACGTATATTGGGGCTTTAAGTGACGTAACTTAACTTAATTGCCAAACTTTCCAAACGACGATGGTTTGTAGTATGACACTAAGCGATATCAATTTATTTAATTACCAAACCTTAAAAAACGATGATGATTTGTATTGTGACATTAAGCGACATAACTTTACTTAATTTCCAAACCTTCCAAACGATGCTGGTTTGTTTTTATGAACGGTCATTCAACTCGAAATAATTTATTTCAAACTCATATTATTAAGGACATGTGTCCAATAGATAATGCTTTTATCTTTATAGCCCTTCATTTGTTTCATCAACCAAAAAAAACAATTCTGGCAGTAATAGAATTGGTGGACAATGATAGTCGTTATATCATTTCCAACAGGACTTGTATGATTGGTATTTCAGAAGATCCATCGCACTGATTTTAAATATTTGAAGCTAAAAACAAGTGTCCAAAAGTGTAATTGTAACTCAAAAAGGTTTTTAAAAGGGAACATGACAAGGGTAGGGAGAACCCAAAGTAGCATAGGTAATGATCAACGGTTGTCAAAAAGCCAGACCGGGGCAGTGATTACTATACATATAAAGAAAGTGAGAGAAGTTTTTTAAAAAATGCCATATTTTTTCAGTCTCAGTGGGCCAGTAGTGCAAATGCCATGCAAGAAAAGGAAAACAATCAGCGCGAAATTTTGTGAAGACAGACTGTTTGTTTAAAAATGCTAAAATATGTATATATGGAAAAACATCCAACTTAGGGAGTGAGTGGTATACAGCTTACTAATAACACTATTTCATCGATCAAAAGTAATATTGTACAGCCGGTGTTTTAGAATGGATAGGAGAATATATTTACAATACTGCCCCTCCTCCTTTTCGAGACCTATATAACTTTTGTGTTTGTCTGTTTTTATTTAGAATACTCTATGATGAGCTATTATATCCCAATGTCTCGTCAGTATATCAAAGGGAGACTACTGCGCCGTGTTACTTTATCGATGTGGTATTACTTTTAAATGTTGTTGTTTACATAAAGACCACATGGTCAGTGTCTTAAACTATAAGCTGTATTTTGGCGAGGGTGAAGAAACAAAAAATGGCCCCACTATTCCATTTCTGTTCCGAACCAAAATGCAGGTTACATTTCAAGACGATAACCATGTATTCAATTTATTTTGCAACGTTGCTTGAAAATCAGACCATCAAGATTTCAACAGTTTTGTTGTTTACTCTTTGTTTACATGACGTTGGTTTTACGGTGAATTGTGCATGATGACATACGCCAAATTATTTTTCCGCGCAGAAATAAAGTTCCAAACTTCAACTAAGATGACAGCGATTTCTTGAATTTTCGTAAAAAAAAACTTATCCTTTAAAACTTATAAAATCGCTTATTTCAACAGTTATTTATGTTGTTCAACGTCATTTTAAAGTAAATTCCAAAATTAATTCTAACAAAATACAAAATGAGCTAAAAGCAGCTGTTTCCTTTCTCTGCTGAATACAGTCAAATATAAATGTGACAGGTGTAATCCGACAAGGGCAGAGCAGTTCAGGATAAACAAACATACTCATTAGGTTTTCTTCTGTTATCGATCTAGTCAATTGTTCTATGTTTTATGATTTGATCACTTTAGAAAGATTCTATCTCATTCAAAAATATAAGTGTGCATCAACATCACCTTTTATTTCATTACAAGTTTTTATCGTTCCCTTTAGAGTTGTTTCACTAAATTACCTTGGTGATAGACAGTTCGAATTCTATTTTCATTTGAATGTTCAGGGCTTGCCCAAGCCAGACGGATTCGACGATGTAATAAATCAATCATTAAAGGCACCATATTTAAATAACGAATCTTATAATATATTTCGTAACACAAATACAATT